TTTCCACCGCAAGAATGGGCGTTGATAAGTTTTTGTTACGTTGTTATGTGTACGAGAATTAATAATTGCACGTAATACAACAAGTTTTAGTAAAATATCAAAGTGTGCAGATTCGAGTAAAAAAAGCTCGGCACGGAACGCGCGTGTTAATGTTGATAAAATATTACTTGTACCTTCCTCAGTTGGATGCCTTTCGGTTGCAGCAACTTTTCTGTGCAATCGTCTGCGGTTCGCCGCCGCGAGAGATTAAAGATACATTGTCTTTGTATTTCGAGAGAGGTCACGCGTTCAGGGAAGCGTAACCGAGCCGACAACACGACGAAACTTTAATCTACTATTTATGCGTGACGGATGGGGAGGTGGGGTGCCGAACCCCCTGCGTTTCTCGGGCAAATCGCCTTTGCCGCGGCCGTAAGTATAACGTCAGCCAAGAAATGAAAACAGTATTACGGATGGCTAAGCCGGATGACGATGTTTCGTACTTAGGGAAGAGGAAAGGATTTATTATTAGAGCTACTTTCCTTCAGTTTGGATGGGCCATAAATAATGCAGGGAAAGCAATCTCTCGAAAGAGTATAATATTTACTGTCTGGAGGATACAATGGATTGGGGCATCGGGTCCGTTATTAAAAATGCAAAACTTCTTAAAGGAGGGACTCGTAAAAAATTAAGGGGCGCGCGACGGGAGATTAACCTCCCGCTCAATCCGCGATACACGCGCACCACCTCCTCCTCCTCCTCCTCCCACGCTGCAATCAACAGAATTATTGCTTTGGAGCTCGTTGCGACGGCGCGGCCGCCGAAGGGAGCCGCACTTAAGCGCATTTGGATGAGAGTTTATTGCACAATGTAGAGCAACACGCGTGGCTGCGAGCACATCATGAAATATTAACTGCTAATGCCTCGTGATTATTACGCGAATTCTACGCGCGTTTAAACTGTAGATTTTCTACATTTATCAGAACCGCGAAATATTTGGTTGGCCGGAGAGTTCGTGCGGTTTTGCGCAAGTAAACACAAAGCTATTTTTTATACAAAGAAATGTCTTTGTTCAATAATGTATCGACCGTTCTTACATATTAGGTGCGCAATGTTGTATGATGTTACAAAATATAAAAATTTGTATTTTTGAATGAATACGCAGCAACCTAATAAAATAAAAATTTTAATATAACCTGTTATATCAACCCTTTAAAATTTTAATAGCTTTTATGGCTCTGGCAAATAAATATTAATGACAGTACCATTAGTATATTGTAATAAGTATCTGAAAGAATACAAATGCTATTTGAACAGTGTTTCATAAATATATCAACCGTTAAAAATACTATTTGAAATTATGTACTGCTATTTCGGAGATCGCTCCGAAATCGTAACCTGTTCGCGGATGCTCCGGTCGTTAACCTCCTGCTCCTACATAACTTTTACCCCCTTCGTTTACACAATTTCCGCCTTTTATTATTTTCGTGCTTCATTCCTTGCTTCTGTACTGAGTACTATAACTTCGGACTGAGATAGAAGAACGTGTAAATAGAAATATAAGATTCATCAGAATATGCAATATTAAAAGGATCGCTTTCGTAATGTGTAATATTGGGTGACTGTGTGTCGCAAATATTTGCACAACAGAAACAGGCAGACGGTAGCACGCGCTGCATGCACTTCATTTGTCCTGTCTGACAAGGATAAGATGGAACGAAGCATCGTGTTTAACTAGAATGTGTATTCAAGAAATATTTGTCATTAGTAATACAGCGCGCACACACGCGGACAGTTGCCCTATTGCAATCAATTTACGAATTGTATTTGCAAAGAATTAACGTTCTACTTTCCGGCATGGGATTAAAATTGCTACTTCCATTTCATCGTCTATTCTGAAATAACTAAGGCTAATTCGTAGTAATTAGACAAAACTTTGGCGTAACATTTTCTTATCCAAGGCACCGTTTTCGAGAAAATCGATGATAAAGTTTGTTCGTCTTTGCGAAGATTTTTGTTGTCGTCTATTCTTCTACGGCAGTTGCCGTCGACCGAGATAGTGTTTACAAACATTATTTATGGTACTACTTTTAACCCACGCAATACATAATGTTCGCAAACATTATCTCGGTCGACGGCAACTGCCGTAGAAGAATTGACGACAACTAAAATCTTCGCAAAGATGAACAAACTTTCAGATCGATTTTGTCGAAAATAGAGCCTCGGATAAAAAGAAATGTTGCACCAAATTTACCAATCATGTAATTTACTTATATTTATTTATATATTATATTCATGTAATTTACCAATCATGTCACCTATTATACAGCAATGTATGTCTCGCAGACGTGATTGTGTACAAATTTATCGATTTTATTAAATACTCAATCATTGGTCGTTTGACATATTTTTCACTAAATCTTATATTAAACTTTCAAAATAGCTATAACTATCAAAAGATGCTAGAATTTTATTCGGGGAACTTAATAGTAAGACAGATTGTTACAATAATATCACTCAAAGAATTAAATAACGATCATTGTAACAAACACGCGGCTTAATTGTTCATTTATGAACATTTTGCACCATTTAATGATCGCTTATTAATTTAAAGCATTCCGAATATAACGCGTTGCCGAAGTCCGAAAATACTTCTTATTTTTGTAACGTTGTAATACACGATCGACTGACGCAATCGAGTTGAAATCTACCATACATCTAGTCCACTGTACCTCCTATACACTCGCCCTAATCTCTCTCAAAAGCAAAAGTTGCAAAAGGGAGTAACTTCTTTATTGAGTACCTCGTACCAGCGCGATTCTCCTCAAATATCGAGCTCTCAGACTAAAATACCCCGACGCACAGACAGTGCCGTGTGGGCTCTTCGTTAAAATTATTAAGCGCGCCCCCTGTACTGTCCTCGAGCGATAATGACGCGCGTGTGCGGCAACTTTTTCTCCCGCGAGTGACAGCAGCGAATTAAAAAAGGGCGGCGCTGCGTGGCGCCGGCGGAAATGCAAGGGGCGTTTTCAAGTGCAACGCGCCGGAATCGCGGAGCCTGGCTCTCGCGATCCATTTGCCCGTGCAGCCTCGTCAAATTGCGTTTCCGGCCGAACCTTCGTCCTTCGCCGCCCTCCGCGTCCCGTCTCCGTTCGCCATTTATACTCGCAATTCGCGCGGCCGGTACTCTCGCGAACGACGTTCTGCAACATTTATGCGACTGGCGAGAGTTTCTGGAAGGAACCTTGCCTCGGCTTCCACTATCCGCTTCGAACACGCTCGCCGTGTAACGGAGCTGGCGAAATCGTGATTCCAAAAAGAAAATGTTTCGTATACAAGATGTCCCAAAATTATTGTACAAGCGGGAAATGAGAGGTTCCTGAGATCATTTGAAGTAACTTTTTCCTTAGCGAAAATGCAATCGACAGCTTTGTTTACAAGTTATTAACGAAAAACAGTGACCAATGAGAGGCGTGATCTGCTGGCGCGAGGCGACCGAGACAATCAGCGGAACTGAGCTCGTAGAGTACAACGGAGACGTCGACTTAATTTTCTTTTAAATCAAACGTTGCAAGTATTTACAGTATTTATAAAGTATTGTTGCAATAGAGCATTTTAAATGTTCATTTAGTACTTAGTAATTACTATCATAGTTTCCTTCACACACTACAACTAGACAAAGAAAACGTGTTACCAAAATGCACGTCATCATTTGAAACACAACTAGATTCGTTTCCTCACAAATTGCGCTCGTTAACTTAGTTTCCGAGTCACCTGAATGGACAGCAGCTTTATTTCTGCGTGAGATTATCTTCTAAATATTATAGAGTTTGTATAGCCATTGTGGAAATTATTTATTCTTGTCTCGTTAACACAATATGTATATCTGAACACTCGGGCAACCACGATTTTCTTACAATGCAGTACGTCTAAGACAGGGCTCGGAACGCTTCGGTACGCAACATTGCAACCGCGAGAGCTACGCCTCCCGACTACCGCCGCAGCATCTCGCTCCCCGCGTTGCTTCCATTGGCTATAAGCGGGGAGCGAGACACTGTTGCGTGCCGAAGCGTTTCGAGCACTGGTCTAGGGCAGTGGTCGGCAAACTCATTAGTCAACAGAGTAAAATATCAACAGTACAACGATTGAAATCTTTTTTGAGAGCCAATTTTTTTTTAAACTTAAGCTATATAGCTAGCTACATTGTTATTAACTTAACACTTCCACGACCGCGTTAGAAATCTCAAAAATTTTTATAAAATTAAAATATTTCATTCTATTAAACAAAAATTACGAAGCAAACTTATATTGCATCGATTACTTCTTCATCGTTCGTATCTCTTGCAAATCTTAATAAAATTAAGCAATCATTTTTAGTTTCTCATTAATCATCCATTCGGTCATCAATCGACGGAATTTAAAGCGGGGAGATCTCCCCATTCGGTGGAAGCCCAATGTTGCGTTCCGAAGCATTTCAAGCATTGTTCTAGATCATTTTTGGTACACGCTAGAAGTCGTATGTCATTGGATGAAATATGAAATATGAAAATTATATGGCTATATAATTATATAATTATAATAATTATATGGATATATAAATAATATAGCCATATTATTTTTAAAATATTAAAATTATTGTAAAACAGACAACGCATTACTACTATTCAACTCCTGTTAATAATCGACTAAATACGAATTTTCTCCATCGAAACAAAATTTGCTTTTTCTGTTATATCGATGCCTACAAAAAATTAATGGAAACATATATACAAGAAACAAGAATTATCTCGTTCTACCAAAAAAGTTATTAAAGGCGAAGAAGTGTTAATCAACACAACTAAGATCGTAACGTAGGGGGGTAATGAAGAGAATTTTTATTTTGCACAAAAATCCGCAGCCTTTTCGTCGTCTACTGGAAGGTTCCAATCTATCTTATAGCTTCTTGACCGAGTTAACAAAAATGAATTAATACCACGATCCAGGAATAGCAATAAAGGTGTGTAAACACGTTTTTGTTCTAGGTGACATGGAGCAGACGAAGAGACAGACAGTTGCTAACAGTGGGCAGACACACCCATTCCATCGAAGATCGGTTCGTTGTCGTCCCGGATAGTCCAGACTGGAACCTCAAGATAAAGAACGTGAAGAAAGAGGACGCTGGGCTATACGAGTGTCAGGTAATGCGTAGAATAGTGTCTTAATATGTCTTGCAGCCATTCAAGACGGGACAAACGGTAACGTGAAAGTACGGGTGACTTATGGGACGGCTGGGTACCCAAACACTGCAAGAACGACACTATTCTACGCCATTGTTACGCGAAGTAAACGAATTGGCTGAACGCAACAATGAACAACACAGAAATTCCTTTATCGTTCTTTGTACATATTTCATGAAACCCTTCAACAATGCTACGAGAAATAAATGAGCGAGAAATTATCAAGATAGAGAGTAAGAACGGTGTTACGCTTCTCTACGATATAGCATTCATTAATCTTAACGGTTGGCTGGTGGTATTAGTTCGTTTAATACGAAATGTCGGATTCCGTATCATTACAAACGCGATGCTGATATTGCGAGAGATGTTATAATCCCCGTTGTTTCTTTTATTAGGATGTATATTTTTGCAAAAATTGTGGACACCTGGAAGTTAACGTAACATGAAAATGCATATCACGCTCAGTATCCGTCGTAACTAGACCATGGATTTTATGCATATAGAACAAAAGTAAATAGGTCAAATACAAAATTGTAAAGACATTTATAATTGTTTTCAACTTCATTGTGAAGAAAAAAGAGGAGGAACATTTTCATCTAACTTGTGTTTCTTACAATCAACGTTAGACAATTTTTATTTTGCACAAAGATTCTCAGCCTAGTCATAATAGTCATTTAACACGTTCAGCGCCGACAATCAATCGCTAAAATTTCTACGAAGTCAAAGTAGTTTAATTAATTGAATCGAAACTAGAATGTTAAAATTTATCGTACTGGATGACATTAGAACTCTTTCGCATCCGAAACATCCTAGTCAAATTCAGTTCGTTCGAATATATTACAATTAGAATGAATGTTCAAAATTGGTCGAAAATTATTATCACTCATATGTGTGTGTGAAGTCATACATTTATTTAACACGCTTTTTAGACTAATTTCATTTTTAGCCAAAATGCAAAAATATCGCGTTCCGTTGTTTCTCCTTCATAATCGGATTTCGCATATCAGAGATTCATATTTCCCGGTTTCAAGTTACATAAACTGTTCTATGCTCGTGTAAAACATTTAAACTGCAGAGAGTCACGTTGCGAAAAATAGAAATCCGACATTTCATACTACACGACTAACTCGATGAATTTTCCGACATTTCCGTTTATACAGGGTGCTCCAAAATTATTGTACAAGCGAGAAATGAGGTATTCCTGACATGATTTGAGGTAACTTTTTCCTTAGTGAAAATGCAATCCGTGGCTTCGTTTACGTGTTATTAATGAAAAACAGGGACCAATGAGAGGCGAGATCAGGCCGCGAGGCGGCCGAGCCAATCAGCGGAACTGGGCTTCGACCGCTCACTAGCTCGGTCGCCTCTCATTGGTCAGTGTTTTTCGTTAATAACTCATAAACGATGCCTCGGAGGACATTTTTGTAAAGGAAAAAGTTACTTCAAATGACCTCAGGAACCCCTCGTTTCTCGCTTATATAATAACTTTGGGACACCCTGTAGGTACATATGTTCCGTTTCGAGAATAACCCGAGAAAACTTGTTTGTCTAGATCCAAACCGACCCAATCCAAAAACGATTAATCCAGTTAAGTATCACCGACGCGTACTCTATGATCCCTGGTGGGCCGAATCTACACGTGAAACAAGGATCCAGCCTTCGACTCGAATGCCAGTTAATGGCTTCGGCGGAAGCGCCCAGCTTTATTTTCTGGTACCGACAGGGTCGCATGATTAATTACGACAATGAGCCGGGTGTCACGGTCGAGGCAACGAAAAACGGTTCTATTCTGACCGTTGACAAAGTCAAGACTTCCCACGGTGCCAATTACACCTGTTTACCAAGCAACGCCAGGGCTGCCTACATCATGATTCACGTGATCGAGGGTCAGTGATTTCAGCGAAACAATTGAGCCGTTTATTTTGAAAGTGGCATAAGTCACTTTACCGTAATGAAAAGTGGTGACTTTTTAATGTTTATACGAAATTATTTATACTGAGAAAAATATCAGTATCCTGAGGTAACAAATACAAGTAAATCTTCTCGAAAGTTAGCATCCATATTTTTAAACGTGTTAAAACGCAAACCCTTAAGTATATCGACTTAAAAACAAAGTGACTTATGCCACTTTCAAAATAAACGGCTCAATTATTAACTTATCCATTCCTTGTTTTCACTCCTTCCTGTCAACTGAATGCGAAAAAGCAACGCTTTAGTTTCTGCGCGATGATAGTAATGATAATGACGTCGATAACATGTTTCTTTACGTTAGATGTATAGTCAATTGACGAAATTATAGACTATTTAGTAGGCTGCAATAGAGTGTAAATCACCTTGTAGTTGTTGCTTGCAAGCTTTAAACTCTAAATCTTTGTGATAGACAACTTAGTAGTTCGACTGCCACGCTAACACAGCATCAAAATTTGTATAAAATCAAATTAATATATTTAATCCAATGAAAATTGACAAGTTAAGTTGTATTACATCAATTATTTGTCCAGCAGTCATACATGTTACAGATTCTAAAATAGAATTAGAAGGTTTAATATAATAATTAACGTAAAAATTAATTTTCTGTTACGAGGAGATACGATTATACGAGCCTTGTACCTCGTTTTTATAATTGTTGACTAAATTTTATAATTGTTGTTCCTAAATTGTCCATCTTTATTTACAAGCTGAAGGAAAATTAGGGAAAATTTACTGTAATTCGGTTACCCCCATATGTGAGCGACACGGCAGTCGAAGGGGTTAAAGGGGTATTCTAGTATGAAACATGTTGTTTTCAATGTTTTTACGGATGTTTTTTTACAGACAAATTACAGCATCGTTTGCAGCAAAAATGTTGCAGCGTATTTATACATATTTCAGTAGTATTTCTGAGTTTTTTGTCGAAAAATATAAAAATTGATGATACTTCGTGTCCTCGTGTGCGTCGCTTATAAAAAAGAATTTAGAGCGCCTGTTTATTTAAAAATATAGCCCACGAAGACTTTTAATCTGGATGAGTTTGTCTATAACAGGAACTAGAATGAAAGAAGAAAGTCGATAATTAAAAAAATGGCGGGACTTTGAAGTTTCATTATTGATTATGTCACGTTTTATTAATATCTATTCTAGGTCTGAGAAAAACGTAATTAAGGTTTCAGCAGTATAGTAACGCTGATCGTTAATTACATATATAGCTACTTGAAACATTTGTGTCTTCGTTAATGATAGGAATTCAGAGATAGAGTATTCCGCACATATTTTCGGAGCTATATTCTTTAGGAAAATGCAGACAATTCGATCTTTTAAACGTTGACACTAGAATACCCCCTAAAAACCAAAGGACCATTCAATTTTGAACAAAGCTTATCCGACTTGTTGCAAGCTTGTAAACTTGAACAGATAATAAACCCTACGAAACTAATATTATTTTTCTTCAGCGACGAAGTGAATTTCTCTGATACAAAATTGTTCTTCCCAACGTTAGAACTCATTCAATTTTTCATATCCTTTTTTTGAGATAAAATTATTCATTCATTGCTTTTGCGCAATAAATAAGTAACCGAAATTTAAAACAGTGTTCACAGCAAATTCCCCCCAATTTTTCTTCAGCTTGTAAATTTGATCGTCGCGGCTCATTTTTATAGTTGCCGCCGATTGTCAACAATTGTAAAAACGTGGTGCAAGACTCAAATAATCTTATCTGCTCTTCCCAAATTGTCAATTTTTGTTCACAAACTGAAGGAAAATTCTGGAGAATTTACTATGCTTGCAAGCTTATTTCTAAATTCTCGATACTTTTCCAGACAAAAATTCCATTACTATAATTATCGTATGAAAAACCTTGAAAAAGAAAAAACACTCGGAAAGAGCATTCGCAGGTAGCGTCCGATTCCAGCAAAGCCGCATTCGTTCCCGAAACAGCCTTTTCCCGTTCGAAGCTTATTTTTTCATATTTTCCATGTTGTCCCGTCAGCGTTTATTGCGGCCGCCTTTCAGTTTTCATCCTAAACATCGGCTGTTATTTTAGCATGGGACCGGTTAATTTTGTTGGTCACTTCTTTCTCTTTTCCAGAAGAGGAAAAGCCAGCGGCGATGCACGGGGGCGATCGGCGGAACTCGACGCGTCGGGCATCCATCAACGTCATGTTGATTTTTCTGAGTTTCCTCGGTGTACAGTGCACGGGCCGGCTCTGTCTGCATCATTCCCGCGTCACGTGACCAGCCCACCGTGTCAGCATCGTCGCCGAATTAGCATTCACCGGGGACTCGAACATTTCCCGACACCTTTCCCGTCAGCCCAGCGGCCGCGCGCCCGTTTTTCATTTTCGCGGGCGTCTTTGAGCGACTTCGACCACCGGAATTGGGAACGCCGCGTTCCCCGCGCGTCGGCTCGTCGCGAGAAGTTCGTTCCCGCGAGCGCTCGTTCCGCGCGGAACAGGAGACGCGCGTACCGTTTCTGCGGACAAAAAGGACCGTGTTCGATCGATCATGCGAAACGTCGACTCGAAGTAATCGTCGACCGAGGAGAAACGTCGTCCGGGCTCGAGCGAAGGCGAAACGCGATACGAAGGGGCTCGTAGCGTTTCAAAGTTACGGAAGCAGCCTGAAGTTCGCGGATAGAATTCGGGCCACGGTGGAACACTCGGCGCTGTCATTAGAGGAACACTCGGAATTGAATAGCATTCCGGCTTGTTGATATCGTGTGCGTGTCGTTTGAGTCCTCTTTCGTTACGCTGCGAGGTCCTGGATGCGCGATATCATTACATTGCCGCGATATACAACGTGGGAGAAAGGTTTCCGTTACTCAATGGCTGACGTTTGCTTTAGCCCGGCGAAAACGGTTGGACGCGATACGCGCCGCCACACGGTGTTGTAGAAAAACTTCTCTTATATTATGCAAGCCTCTAGCAGCCGCACTCTAGAATGCCTCTTGCAACGAGAAAGATACTTCACAATTTCCGTCAGAGACCATTGACGACGCTGCTGCAAATGGTCTCGTCTACTTCCAACGGAATAATTCTGTTTCCTTGATGATGCGACGCGGATGGCCAGGCGGAATATTGTATATTCGAGTCAGACCGTGCAAAGAGCGTGTTTCACACTTTCGGTAATAAGCAGAGCATTTCAGCGCAAACGCGGCGCGTGAAACTGCCGCGCCCAATCAACGAGGCTACGCCTTTCGGCGCTATTAGCGCGAGAAACGTTCGGTTGCGCGCGCGACCTGTCGCCGAGTGTCTTCACTAATTAAGAAAAGGAAAAGCAACGCGAGACGTTCAGTCTATAGAGCGGGTGTGTCACGAGCATTCAGCGGCCGCGCGCGTATTCACGGTTTTCGGCGGCTTTCTTTGACGCTCTGAATGGAACGAGCAACGGCACGCGTCACCGAAGAATAGAAAGGCCGACGTCGCTCTCGTATATCGGTATGAATTTAATGCGCCGAAAGTTCTCCCACCTTTTCCACGGTCGCGTTCAAGCAGCCGCGAGACAAGCTCGATAAACTTGAACGCGGTTGGAACGCGCGCGCCCATTCAAGCTTGCGGGACCTTGCGAATCGGCCGTGTTCCGATGAATGGCGAAGTCATACACCACTGCGGCTAAGTGCTGCTCGCACGGCCTATTCACATACACGCGGCCGTCTCTCATATAAATACCGTCAGCCATTGTCTCTTAAATTTCTTTCAAACGCGCCGCCCCGTTTCTCCTCCCGGCCTCGATCTCTCGTTCACGAACGCTGCCACCGACAATTTCGCCTTTCGTCGCGAACGGACGATTGTACCCCGCCACGGAATCCCGTGGTCGTTTTAATTAACACTCCCCGTAGCCAGCGCGGACAGTCGCAAACGGGAACTCCGTGTCGCGGCTGCGACAGTGGCGACATCTTGGCGGACACGACGCGACAACCAACGTCGAACTCGCGACACGCGTGTTCACGGGATTGTGCAAATCGTGCGAATGGGTCACTCTTGTCTGCAGAATTTTACTACTTCGTTGTGAGACACACCTGCGAAAATTGACTCGTAGAATCTCTGTTATGGAATTTGTACACGCGCGTCGTATCGTTGTGTTGACTACGATATACAGTAAATTCTCCCTAATTCTCCGTCAGCTTGTGAACAAAAATGGACGATTTGGGAAGAGGAGATACGATTATTCGAGCCTTGCACCTGGTTTTTATAATTGTTGACGATCAGCAACTATAAAAACGAGCGCGAGGCTCGAAAAATCGTATTTCCTGTTTCCAAGTTGTCCATTTTCATCTCTGAGCATCCAAGGACAATTGGGGGGGATTTGCTGTATACATAACCTTTGTAAATGCGACAAACTGTATATGAACGTTACCTTTTAGTGCGTGGCATCAAATTGCAACGAAGTTCGTCTGTTAATCGAGAAAACATGTGAAATAGGAACGGCGAGATGGTTAAGCATTTCCAAAAAAGATGAAACGTTTTTTTTGATCAAATATTGCTACAGTATAGTATTATTTTGAATGAGAGTGTAAGCGACAGATGTGTACGTTCGCGTCGAAATGATTTATTTTATCATTTGTACCGGTAAAATTCGTCCGAGCTGTTATGTCGAGTCAATGGACGTCCGTGAAATCACAGAGAACAAAATAGTGACCCATGCTGTTCGGTATTGATAAAAACATGCGCGGTGTTTATTCACGAATTGTCAAATAACGGTCAATTACGTTAGATTAATTACGAGAAGCAATCGCGTCGATCATGCATACCGTTTTCCATGGAACCTAAGAGCCGTTTTATCGATTTAAGAACACAATCAATGTTTCCAGGTAACATTAAAATGCTCACTTGATGTATTAATGTGATCAGTGTATATACATGTATGTTAATTCTGTATAAGTAAATGCAACGTACCTAGCTACACAGCATCTTGGTCGCGAAGATCATTTCGATTCTCCTCCGTTATACAAACTGGACTTGCTGACTGCATCGTAACGAGCTATTAAAACTTTTCTATTCGGAAGTGTGTGTGTGTGTGTAGGTCAATTTTTCGGTAATATTAAATCAGTAACAGGATCGATAGCACCAGTTATACGTGAACGGAGAGGGAACGAAACCGATCTTTCGACAGAAATGAGTAGAACGATACAGCACGCTGTACCGAGAACGTTACTGCCACGAGATGCAAGAATTTTATCGTGTCTTTTTACATACAATGAGATAATGCACACTTCGTCAGACAAGCGTACGCGTTTCTACTAATTAGACCGATTATCTAATTATTTACCGGATCGATGTGCTCACTAACTATAGCGTTGTAGAATCTTCCTAGCCGCAGTTCAACATTTTGAGAATCGTGTTAATTGACGTTCGTAGTATTGACTTGTTTGAAATTAATGATCTACACACGGTGTCTATATCGGTTTTTGCTGCGTCGACGTGGAACGGTTTTATTTCTTTCGCGTCGTCGGATCCCGGAGAATGTGTGAATTGCAAGAGTACAGTTTCGAACGTAGAATATTAAGCCACCTTTTCATTATCACGATACTACGACCTGCAAAATAAATTGAACATTTTAAATCCGCCGAGTTGGTTCACTATTGAAACGCGCGGGCCCTCCCTTGGCCGAGGTAAGTGACGATATAATACTTGATCGCAAACATACCCTCACACCACAAGCATTAAACTTGAATTCTTGAATTATTCATTTCATCGATGTCCATCTTTGATGATTTGAAATTAGAAGAGACGAATAAAGGTGAGAATGCAAATAAAATTATTTTCTTAAAAATAATTACTAAATAATTAATAATAATATTCAACTATATATTCAAGCGGTAGAGTAGACACATAAGTAAGTCTTTATGCATCTCTATGCATTTATTTCTTTTTACACATTTTTAAATTGGTATAAGACACGCCTATGTATAGGGCGATTACATAGCCACCGATCTTGGATATTTAAGCGACAATAAACGGCGACTAATAAATTTGAAAGACATTCTATTTATTGAAATAAGCGATTAATCTACAAATTATAACAAAAGACAGTACATTTTTCTCCAAGGTGTAGACACAATCGTGTAATAGATATTACGATTATTATGAAGCTTCGCACACAAGTAAAGTAAATAATTCCTACTACAACCGTATTTTTTTAATGCGCGATTCGAAGGAGTGAAATTAATCCTTGAGAAAATTTAAATATTTTCTCTTTTGTGAAACACTTGCTGTTCTGAATTTTTGGATAAAGAATAGTGTTCGAGGAAGACCACGAAGTGCCGCAATGATCCTCTATGTCAAGAATTTCGATCCAGACCCAGGGGAATGTAATAACACCGGTTGCCCCCCAAGGTCTCTCATTTTCTGTAATAACGTGTTGCGTTAAGGTGCCTGACTGTTAAGGTGTTTAACGCGAAAATTAGGGCATCATTGAGACTAATCAGATTCGACGGAAATTCATTAGAGCAAACAGGGATAGCGTTATTTTCTATGCGTACTCGTAGCCGTCGCTGCTATTATACGATCGAAATCATTGACGAAGAACAACCGCGTAATGTAGTTCCGGGCACGCACGCAATTACGCAACGCCGACAATCCATTAGCTCTGGGGAACACACGCAACGCCACGCTCACTCGCATTCGACGATCGATTCCCGACCTTTGCGGGAAGGCCGACAATAAGCGCAGCTTATTCCCGACGATTAATCAAAACCCGGCGGATAATGGGTAATATCCAGTATCTGGTAAATAGTAGGTCGAGAGTGGATACGCGTTTCCGGATCGTAATGAGGGAGAATTGCGAGCGGCGATTGCGGATGCGGGGATCAACAGGACGGGCCACAACAGTCGATTTTCTCAAAAAGTTGGCTTGATTTCATACGATTCGTACGATGTTTATGGAACTTAGGTGCTCTTATGTTTTTTTGGCAGAATTCAAGATCGAAAAACGGCGTAATTTATGTCGATATCAAATGTGGATGATGTATTGTTTCGATGGTTTTGACAAAATAGGGGCAAAGGTATACCAGTAAGTGGATCTATATTACGCGAAAAAGCTCAGAATTTTTACTTGCAGCCAAAGAGATATAGGATCTATAAATGCATAAATAAACTGTCAATTTTATTTTCTTTGTTTAAAGAACTTTTTTCGGATCTATAAAATTTCTCTTCGTTAACAATATAAACTTCTTTTCGAAGAGATAGTCACTTTCAGTTAAAAATGTATTATTCGTTAAAAATTATTTCAAATACGGAAGTTTCTCCATTGCACAGTAAATTCTCCCTAATTGACGCCCAACTTGAAAACAAAAATGAACGATTTGGGAACAGAAGATGCAATTATTTGAGCCTTGTGGCTCGTTTTTATATTAGGTCTACCGGAAAGTTCTGTCCGTTTTCGAATTGAAATATAACACAATTTTCATACATTTAATAATATTTATTGTAGAACATACTTTCCATCGTTACTTATGACTTCTTGCCAGCGTGATGGCAACTTGTAAATGCCATTTTTAAGAAATGATTTATTTTTAGAGGCGAAGAACTCAACTAGTGCTTGGTTGACATCAGCTTCAGTTTTGAATTTTTTTCCTGTAAAAAGTTTTGCAAAGAGAGAAGCAAGTGATAATCGGAGGGTGCTAGGTCTGGGGAGTATGGTGGATGTGACAGAATTTCCCAGCCTAGCTCTGCGATTTTCTGACGAGTCGCCGAAACAGCATGTGGTCTGGCATTATCATCGGTAGCTATGTTTTCACGATCGCGTCTCACTTAATAATGACATGAGACATCTTTGTTTCAGTTTATTTAGGAGAGTCAATGTGTGTCAATGCAATGATAAAGAGAGATAGTCATATATGTCTCAAATCAACATGTGCATATGGATTGAAACTTGAAGTGACACTATTGGACAGAACTTTCCGGTAGACTTAAAATAGTTACTAATTGTTGATAACTATCAAAACGTCGAGGGTAAAATTTGTAGAAAAGAAGGAATAACTTACAAATATAAGGAATTATTTTATTCATCAAAGTATGCACCTACATTGTCTATACACTTTTACCATTTAAGCGACAGGTTGTTTAGGCCGGTGGTATGAAACCCTGGCGGACGAGAGCCAATGAATTCCTGGAAGGTCAGTTTTACAGCATTGCCGGAATTAAATTGTTTTCCTATTAAAAAGTTGTCCAAATTGCGGAAGAAGTGGTAGTCAGTGGAGGCTAGGTCTGGTGAGTATGGAGGACGATGAAGAAGTTCCAACTCCAATTTCTGTAGTTTTGCTACAGTCATTTGTGCACTGTGTGGTCTAGCGTCATCATGCAATAAGATAGAAATCGATCTGTTGACCAATCTAGGCTGTTTTTCTTTAAGTTTTTGCATCATTTCGTCCAGTTGGTTGCAGTATATTTCTGCTGCGATCGATGGGTCGGGTCTCATGAAATCATAATGGATCATACCTGTGCTAGACAGGTGTGATAACCTTTGATTCTAGGCGACCACGTAGCTCATTCGTGAGACCAAAGTTACTTGCACGAAATTTGGCGAACCAATTTGATTCTGTCTGCTGCGTAGTAACACTAGAGTCAAATACATTATTAATGTTTCGCGCGGTCTGCGATGCCGTAGTTGCACGCAAGAGCTCACACTTCACAATAATGCGAATTTTCGACCGTTCTATTTTCAACAAAATTAACTTTTAAAAAAGGTTTTTAATATTTTTTAGAATGATCTCTTTAAACAGGCGAGATGTGTAACTTTCCAACAAAAGGAAAACAGAACGGTAAAATATTAAACCAATGTCAAATAATAAGCTGTTAAAGTTGGCAATATTATTGACTACAAATTTCATCTTTGCCAACTAATATAAAAACGAGCCGCAAGGCTCGAATAATCGTACCTTCTCTTCCCAAATTGTCCATTTTTGTTTCCAAGCTGAGCGCGAATTGGGGAGAATTTACTGTAATTTAAACAACAAATTACACTATAACATAGAAATCATCACATTGTTTCCTCCCCTGCTTGTTTTTAATGCGTCAAATCTTCAGATTTATGCCCGCCTTACAGAAGTTATGAATTATGTTGACGGCCCACGGAGTGGTCGTAAATAAAAGGGACAAAGGAAAGGGGCTGAGAATTTACTGGCGGAGCAATGGGGAAAAAAATAGGAAGAAAACGTCACGTAACCCTATTGTGCGAACTATAACCGGGATTTCGACGTACAAGCTGCTCCAGGACAGTATTTCTATATGAAATATTTATAAAATGCACCGCTATTTGTACGAACCATGTATGTTTTGGAAATAACCTGCTGCATTATTCATTTCGCTCCAATTATTACGTGTCAACGACTTGTCGGAGGGGGGAATAATTATTCATGTTGATCGGCAAAATATTCGCGAATAAGCATACACAAGGGATGGTACGATTCTTTACGTCGCGACTGCTTTTATAACGCAGGTGTCGGTGCATGAGCTATTTTCATCGCAATCTGAAAAGGATTGATCAACTACGATTATTAACCTTCTGTGGTTTCAGGAGCGTGCGCTGACACGCGGAAAGTCAATATTTCATCATCGACATTTGAATTTTCTCATGCACGAAGCGTTATGTTTTCGATGCACGAACTACATTGCTTTCAAGATGTTCCAGTCGCTGTCTATACATACGTATTCTCATACAGTGACTACAACCCCTGGTAAGAAGTTTCCGATCAGAAGCGTTGTTACGGAATTTACATAAAACATTCACGTTTTAGAAGTCTAAGATGTTATTGTACGGATTTAAAATATTATTTTATTAATAGAAATTATATATTAATGTTTTTTGTTACATCCCCATTTTGTTTACGTGTAACTTCTTTAATACGTGTTGTGGCATAGAATCGATAAAATTCTTACAATCTGTAGGTGAGATTTCTTTCTATGCTTCTGAAGCTTTCTTCCTGTAGCTTTTCTTTTGTACTTATTATTATTTAATATTATTATTGTATAATATTGTTATTATATAATATTGTTATTATATAATATTATTATTATATAATATTATTATTATATAATATTGTTATTATGTAATATTATTGTACTTATTTGAGGGACGATTGAAAAGTTTTTCCCAGCATTACCATTAATCGGAAACTTCTTTCCACGTAGCATTTGCTTCTTTTTTACAATAAAAGGAGGTTTATATTATTTTGTTTTCTTTTACTCCATAATTTTACTCCTTTAATTTTCCATCAGTTTCAACTGCATACAGTAATATCTTATACAGTAAATTCTCCCTAATTCGCGATCAGATTGTACATAAAAATGGACAATTTGGGAAGAGAAGATACAACCATTCGGGCCTTGCGGCTCGTGTTTATAGTTATCGATTGTCAACAACTATAAAAACGAGCCGCGAAGCTCGAATAATCGTATCTCCCTTCCCAAATTGTCCATTTTTGTACACAATCTTAGCGCGAATCAGAGAGAATTTACTGCATTGTTAAAACACGAATGTTTTCTGTGAATTCCGTATCGAGATGCTACTTCGGAAACTTTTTTCCAGTGGTTCTAGGTGTAAAAACTCGATCGATGGGGCAACTGCTTGTTTCACGGAAAGCGAAAGACTTCGCAGGTCGGAATTTTTCATGGCGCGATGCTCGATTCGTTCCCGGGAAGAAAATGGAGGTAATGAGGAACACCAACGAGAAAAATGAGGATGACGACGCGTCGTCACGAAGATTCATACCTCGATGAACCAACAAATTCTACAAGCCTCTCGCTTTAACATACTACGTACATACATTCCCGATCTTGTTACGAAACTTCCACGTGATATGCGCACTATGTTCTCATTCTGGCATGCGTCAACGATAAAGTAACCATTTATTTTCATCGCGAATTCAGCAAAGAAATATAAATAGCTTATGAAAAACTCTTAACCGATGTGTTCATGTCGCGTCTTTTAGCAGGGTTGAAAAAGAATCTGCGCTTTAAACTTGTTACGTTAACTTTCTAATAATCAGTACAAATAACGTGAAATGTTTCTTGACTGCATTCTGTCTGAACAGTTCCATATCAACCCTTTGCACTCGATGCCATTTTAACTGTAAATCTAAAATAATTTTTCTGACTTCTACTATTTCCTTTTTGTATGACAAAGTGCATTTTATGCATATGAAATTGAGTTTTGTGGCTCATATAACAATTACAGTTTTAACAATTTCTTAAATCTAAACTTTGATAATATAAAAATTATCTTGGAACGTGATATAAGAATTTTGTTTTTATTGGTACCTTCGAGTCGCCAGTCGAGTGCAAAGGGTTAATACTACACATCTAAATTTTTAATATTTAAACTTTATTTTTATGGTCGAAATATAAAGTGTACAATGTTCACGTTGTTATTATAGAAGTTGAAGATTAATACCAATAGGATGTATTAAAGACTACAGGGTGTCTCAAAAGTCACTCGCAGTCGAGAAATAAGGAGTTCCTGGGGTCATTTGAAGTAGCTTTTTCCTTAGCAAAAATGCAATCCACAGCTTTGTTTACGAGTTATTGATGAAAAACAGCCGACCAATGAAAGGCGAATTCAACTGGCGTGAGGCGGCCGAGCCAACGAGCGGTCGAAGCCCGGTTCCGCTGATTGGCTCGACCGCCTGGCGCCGAGCTCGCCTCTCATTGGTCACTGTTTTTCGTTAATAACTCGTAAACAAAAGCGCGGATTGCATTTGCGTTAAGGAAAAAGTTACTTCAAATGACATCAGGAACCCTTCACTTCCTGATTGCGAGTGACTTTTGGAACACCCTGTATAATACTTCATTTCATTGCGCCAAGCAATGAAAAAACTAATTCTCGGCAGGTCCGATAAGAATTTAACGACACGGAAAATTCCAAGACATATTTACATATAAAGATTCGGATTAATTACTTGTTTCTTCCATTACATGGACTTTTCGTTTACACAAGAGATTTCGTTCTCGCGGATAAAGAACATTGCTCGTGGCATGATGCAGATAGGAGAAAATACGAAAATGCGATTCTCCATCGGGCCTCAAGAAAATCAGCGATGTGTCAGACTAATGAAGTATTTCTGACAATTTAACGCGAAATACCATTCGACTGGACAACTGCTATTGAATATTTCAACTGTTCTCAAACGGAGGGGAATGAATTCGAAATTAAACGCAGAGACGGAAAGCGCGAGCCGTAATAACGGCCGCGGGATTTTCATGAAATTAAGTTAATGGCTCAGCCATGTATTACCCTTCAAGATTACCCTGTAATTCCGACGAAATAAAGGATTTCTCTACTCTCTAATTCTCTCCTTTAAACGGCCCGGCTGCGCGAATCTTGCAGTTTATTTCCGTGAGTAACTAAATATTGGATACACGCAAGAATAATGGTGGTGCCGACGTCAAAAAATTGTAATTTTTAAATGATACACCTGACGTTTCTCGCGTTCTGTATTTCTCCAGGGCAAATTTTAATTTCACTGTGAAACGTGCATTATTTCTCTCTCTCTCTCTCTCTCTCTCTCTCTCTCTCTCTCTCGCTCTCTCCTATACGTATCTCGATTTTTTCCAGAATTCTGACGAGAACTCGGGCTCGCAGTAATAAAAATCTAGATTAGCTCACGGCGTGTGCAAGTAAAATTTTATTGACCGGACAAGATTGAAGAATTGGCTGTTCGTTTGCTAAAAAATAAATTTACTCTTATCGACATCTAGCGAATGTATATTACTTCGTAAATATGCATCGCTTCTAACTGCGATAATACTAGAAAAAAAATTAATTAAAAATTGCTAGGTAAGGCCAGGTAAGCTAGATAAATACCAATTTTCAGAGAAGGAATTTCTTTTATCGTGGTATTATTTTTGTTCCTGTTACACACGCGCACGCATACGCACACTCGTATATTTTCCGAGCCTTTTAATATTGTGACTGCGCCGGAAAGCTGTGAAAAGTAAATATCGCCGTTGTTCATGCGAAAGAAATGCAAATGGTCAATATAAACCTTGCGGCGCTCGCGTCGACGTTTAACACACACATAAATACCTATGCGTTGCGAATTGCGTAAACACACAGGCATTTTTGCGGTTATTAATAGGCATAAATACTCATTTTTGGTAAATGTTCTTACAACGATACTTTAAGAAGCGCACGTTTTTTTTTATTATGCAGTTTAATAATAAACAAGTATTTCTACGAACAAAATAATATTTTAGCATATTTCTTGTTATGGTTACGTCAAAACGCGCTTCTTTTAACTCTATAAAATCACAATACAGTGGTTGGACAAAATAATGGAAATACTACTGGTAAATGGCTTGGTATACTTTTGAATTAGTATGCTGAAACATTTTGCACTATTTTTCCAACACTTCCGCTACCGGTGTATCTTATAAAAAAGGAATTTATAATTAATTGAATGCAATGCGTCTATCTGTAAAATGTGAAAAAGATATTAC